AAATTAGGGTTTTGAGCCAAAAAAACCTTTAGGCTTCTTTTACCTATTTTATGTAAAGTCGACGGCGTTTAATAATCTTTGACGGCGTGCTTTCCTGAAACACGCGATGTTTCAGTAAATTATAAGCCAGACCGGTTCATCTATTCGAACCGATGTTTTTGATCCGTGTATGAAACCGGAAAACTCTGAAAAAACACACATGATCGGTTCGTAGCTAAAAAATTAAACTTCTGAATTTGGCTAAAACTCAACAACAACAAAAAAAGATATCAAATTGTTCTCTTTGTTTCTAAGTTCGATTTCGGATATGGTTTATTTCTTACCTCAAGATCTTTTTTTTTTACTAGTTCAAGTTTGTTTTGAACTTGGAGTTTTATTGAATTGAAATATTATTACTTTTCTAGTTCATAAGGAAAAAGTACAATTTTGTATTCGAAACAAGGATTTATATTGATCGAGATATAATTTTGAATTCCTATATATTGGTTTGTAATGTATGCTTTTTGTGATAATTGTAAATTTGTAATGTATTATAATTTAAGTGTTTTAGCATTTAGGTTTAAACTCCTCTTGTATAAATATAGCCTTGATCAACATAAAGAAAATCTTCATTCATATCATCAGTTTCTGATGGATTGAAGCTTTACGGAAAAAAAAACTTTCAAAAGATTTCCTAAGTAGGTTACATAAATAAAACTTTCAAAAGATTTAACGTAAAAATTAAAGCCTTCAAAATTAGGTCGGTCTTGAATTCAGAGGTACGAGGTTTGTCCAACCAAACTTTTCATGCATTATAAATCAACTATCAATAAATATGTTACACCTCATTCTCAACCACTTACGTACCTATTTGAACTAACACTTAATCCGCAAATAACTGCTATCCCTAGCTCCTATATTACAACCTTTCGTTCAATTTGTGCACCATCCATCAAACCATAGCCAAAGCTCGAGTGAGTATGGCGATGAATATTCAAAACAGAGCGTATTTTCAAAGAAAATGGAAGCGGATCGACGTAATGAAAGCTTCTTCGGTCACGGTCGTACATTTGTTGTGTCTCTTGGCACCGTTTCACTACAATTGGGAAGCTCTCCGGTTGAGTATCGTGCTCAACATTGTGACTGGATTCAGTATCACATTCTCCTACCACAGGAACTTGACGCACCATAGCTTCAAATTACCTAAATGGCTTGAGTATCTCTTTGCTTATTCAGCTCTTTTGGCTCTCCAGGTTATTAAAATCGGCCAACCGATAAGTGAATCTAATTAAGCGCGTATATTATTAAAACATATGTCATGTTCCTTTTTCGATGTTAAGATTAGAAGCAATTTATTCGAATGTTTCCAGGGTGATCCGATAGATTGGGTGAGCACACATAGGTTTCACCACAAGTTTACAGATTCGGACCGCGATCCACATAGCCCTATGGAAGGATTCTGGTTCAGCCATATCTTGTGGATATTCGACAATGATTATATCAGAGATAAGGTATACATGACATACATTTACATACATATAACGGTCATATTTTTAAAAGAAGTGTCGCGGTTATGGACACCTTCCTTATTATGAAATGTTTATATATAGTGTGGAAGGCGTAACAACGTCAGTGACTTGAAGGGACAATGGTTCTATAGATTTCTACAAAATACACAAGGTCTCCACATTACAATATTTTGTACCATACTCTATTTCTATGGCGGTTTACCTTACCTTACTTGGGTCGTGGTAATTATATCTCGATCTATTTACTTTAATCTATGTATGGTGGGTTAGTAGATCTTGGTTATATGATATATATCCAATGAAAATCGATACCTTATGCTTTCGTTGTATGAATATTATGACAGGGCTTAGGAGGCACAATTAGGTACCATGGGACTTGGCTCATAAACTCAGCATGTCATACTTGGGGTTCGCAAGCGTGGAAAACCAATGACACCTCTCGTAACATTTGG